AAGTAATGTAAATATGCTTCAAATCTGTCAATGACTTACTGACGTGCACGAAAACCAATGTATTGGACCCGGAAATAATGTCTCTGTATAGATATTATATACTATAATATATATATTTTTGTATAAAGTATATTGTAGCCTATTTTTTTATGTAAAGTATAATATTATATGTATAAATATAATATAATATAATAGTTATTATATCTGCTGCATTAGGTTAACATTTCAATAAACGAGCCATTCTATAAGGTGACATTTCAGCACTTGACAAACGGATAGCGACTCCTAAGTAGCACTTAAGCACGGCTACGTGCGATTGCGTTAAGTGCATTTTTGGGAAACGCACGTGAAACAATAACGAACGATCGTAAAATGACTCGTAGAAAACGCTCTTAAGTCCTAAGATCAATCGTTATCGAGAAACGCAGCCCAGGACATTTGGAAATACTACCAGCCAAATGTTTGAACACAATTCATTCATGTTTTCTATGATTACAAGTTAAGCTTTGTAAAAATAATAATGGTAATTAAATATGTGAATTTATTTACAAGTAAAATTTTATTTAGTTCCAATTTTATCAAGTTGGACCAGATATTGAAGAAAGAATTCTGTAATCTATGCAAAGTTTCATAATTTGATGAATTTACTAGTATTCTAAAATGTTAATAGTAGTAGTAATAAAAACAAAAACATAAAAAACAAATAAAAAATTAACAAGTATGCTTGTCCAAACTTTTGACTGTCAATGTAAGATTTATTGAAATACATGGTAAATAAATCACTGCTTATTTATTAATCAGTTTAAACAGTACTGATATAAACAGTATAAAGATATTTGGCCACAGAACCCATGAATGAAAATGTAAGGGTTCGCTGTTAATGTTCTATTTTATATATATTCAGTTATTTTTTGAATATTATATTAAATTAAAGAGCTTAACCACCCGTGTTCTTCCAAATCAGTCATACTAAATCTTTCTGAAATGGCACTGCTTTTTCTGATGTTAACTAACTGCTAAAACAATGTTTGCTAAACACTGCTGTGCACAGACAAACAAACTGGTGGCAGGAACAAGTTAGGCCTGATATACGGGCTTCTTCTGCAATTCCTCTCAGAGATAAACATCATTAATACGCTACAAAGTACGTAGGGGGGACATGGGTGCTACTTTGCTGGGGGGTTTGGTTTACCGTGAAGCAATGAGCTGTGGCGTTTTCTGCGCTGCGTGTGATACATGGCATATGTCGATGACAAAATCTGCATTTTCATGTTGAGAGTGGAACCCTGGCACGTACTACAACAATAACAAATACCTACTCAAATATGGTTTTATCCTAAATTATTTGAAATGTATGTCATGCCGTTAAGATTTATGTGGGATCGTGTGTAACGTTGAAGACCAAAGGAAAGAAATAAAGGATAAAGTAAACATAAAAAATGTGAAATTGGTTGAGGCCACATTTTTACAGTAATCGTTTGCTTATGGACAATTGTTTTTGAACTAGGCTAACATTTTTCTGTATTTCCTCTCAAATGAGCTCAAAAAAGACCCGTCAATGACAAACCTGTCTTTTGTTTATACAGCAATTATCTCTCATAAACTCACAGAAATTACATTTATTTTGATCTGTAAAAATCCAAACTGATGTCAGAAGTCGAGCAGATGTACCTGCCAACCCTTTCCGCAACAGACGTATTTTCTGGGACGTCTATCTCCACCTGGTGGCTCTCTGCATGTTCACCTCCAATCCTTGTAAATCAGGGCAAGACGAGAGCTATGTTGAAAACGAGAACAATTGGAAGCCACTAAGAAATAAAGAAAAAAACACAGATAGACAATTTACACACAGAGCTAAAGGTATCATGAGTGCAATATTATTCTAAACGCGCAGGCCTGTCGCAATAATCAATATATCGACTTATCGCACAATATATGTACATGACCTCAATAATTTTTAGTGACGCAATATATCGCCCATTATATTTACTTAAAAATTAATGTCACCATGTTTTGTACATTCCACTTGCGCCTGTGTCTTTTGCAGCTTCTCGTACATAACGTGGTGTAGTCACGAGGTGCTAGTTCAAATTTAAAAAATGCTTCTACAAAAAAAGTTTCTCTGCAGATATGGCCTTGTTTAGGGATCTGTGCCTTTGTGCATATGGACATCTGACTGCTAAGTAGCGTTTGTGTTTTTCAGCAATAGTGTGCACCCTTCATTTACAAAGAAAGTCAGGGACAAATCTGTAGATGGAAAAATCTCCATACAAGTTCTTTGTGCATTTTTCTTTTTTTCTACTTGTTACTTTGTACTTTTTGTTAGAAATTGTTTATTTACTATTTATTCAGGTTTTTTAAGGTATCTAATATTTTGATACTTAATTTCCATGATCTAAATATTCTTAAAAAATTCAAAGTTTGTTGTCATTTGGAAGTGTGTAGGCCTTCTTGCATTATTATGCTGTTACATTATGATTATATATTCAGTGGCATAAAATGGTCTTTAAAATGACAATAGTATCGCTTATCGCAATTATTTCTGGGGCAATATATCGCACAACAAAAAGTTATCGTGACAGGCCTATACACACGTCCTCTTACACATATGCACGGTTTCAAATAAATATATGAGTCCGGCAACACGAATAGAGTATTAAAAGTGTTGACCTCGGCTTGGTTCATGGTAATGATTTGGCCGGAGCCGCCATCTGGACTCGCCGACTGGTGTTTTGGCTTTAGCTGTGTATTAATGAACAAGTGAACGCAAAAAGTGCAGCTTGGCTCCCAGTGGACAATGTGGTTCTAAATGGGGGGGATTGTGCGCGAGTCGAGAGTTTCTCCAGGGCATCAGACCTGAATGGTACAGTAGCATGAGCCCATTTAAAAGTAATTACCACAGCATGTTCCAGAGAACGTGTGGAGCCCTGCCATTCCATATGAATTGTGGAAGAACATGTTACCAAAACTGACTTTTGTGTGAACAGACTTAAATACATAACGAACGAAATACATTTAGAAAAACAAATTATGCATGGGACAATGAAGCCTTATACAAAAGGTTACAAATAAACAGCAAGAAAGGAAGACATCTGTGAAAACACATGACATAGATAATTTAACGATAATTTAAAATGCATCTTTGTGAGTCAGAAAAACAAAGTGCACTACTACAAATGTATCATTCACTGCCATGAAACAGTGGATGCATTTAATTGTTTGAACATATAAAAATAAACCACAACAAAGCAACACACATTTTGTACAAATAAAAACCTGAAATAGTTCCATTGACAAAGATTCTGAGTGTTTCGAATCAGAAAGGTGGATACAAGATTTACATCGGTAACTAAAACACTGCAATTTATGAACACAGTAAACCTGGTTAAGAATGTACATACTCTATTACCAAAATAAAACTGAAAATAGCTGCTTAATAATAATAACAATAGTAATGTAACATTTTGTATTGATGAGCAGTTGCACTTGATTTGATGAAAACAATAAAGACGTTGTTTTGCTAAGACGAAAAAAAAGGAACTATTGCCCAATGTTAATGATAAAAGTGTCTTAAGGGGCTCACAAACTGATAAAATATTTAAAACAAAACATCTTAAGAATTATACAAGTATAAAAGGCTACAAACATTAATAAATTACATCACTGACACAGAAAACACTTCACAAGGTGCTAGTAAAATAACTTTAAAATCCATCAGGGGTATTTTAGCTCAAATGTCAGGCTGGTCGTAGAAACTTTGTTGATTTTTTTTTTTCCTTTTCCCCCCATCATAAATGAATCATAATACACATGGTTTTCTGCATGTAAGGCCATATGAGAATAAATGTTACACTGTTTATTTTGTTCTCCAGGCAACACCTTTTGTCTAATATAACAGAATGAAATGAAAACAAAACAATGGTTAAAAAAAGTTCAGCTATTGTGTATCTAACAAAAAATGTAAAAGGTAATGACTATTTCTATATCTTTATATATATATTTGTCTGTAATTAGCAAAAACTAGTAAAAATGTATAATGAAGTATTAAGGAAAAAGGATACAAAAAGTAGTCATTTAAAAAGCTATATACAGGCTACATTCTACATACTGTACTGTGAACAATATAAATGCATATTTCATTCTAGGGTAATTGGTGCTGCCTGTGAAACAAACAGAAGAGAGAAAGTATCCCCATGTAGTGAAATGCCATGGATGAGGCTTATCATCAGTGCTAGAGATCCCATTCATGTAGTGTTTCGTTGTTTTTGCAGAGTGTTCTGTAACCGTAATAAGAGCTACGTTGTCAAACAATAAAAAAAAAAACAGTATGACATAAAACTGATTGTAGTATCAATGTCTAAAAACAACAGAAATATATAAATAACATTTTAAAAGACGTGCTAACAATTCATTTTATTTCATGTGATACGATGATTTGCTAAATCAATGGGGAAAATAAGATATTTCAACCATGTTATTTAGTGAAAATATGGTTTGTTATCGATATGCATGTTTAACAATTTGACAGTTTTTGCCCACAAAAACTATTTTTTCCCCCTATATTTATATAAAAAAGAAAAAAGAAACAATTTTTAAAAAGCTGTCGTTTTATAATAGCTGTGAAGATATACAATGTTACTAAAAATAAGAGTTCATATTTGTGCTTCACTGAAGTTTTGTAAGTGCCTTAGGGCTTCAAACTACCTAGGACATTTACAATTATATTCAGTCAATAAATATTATCTGCGATAGTGCTTAGCAAACAGAAAAGTACTTTTTCAGTTGTCCCGTGTAGGTAATGCGTATAAAAATGCTTTTTTGCTTAAGGATTAAGGAAAGTAAATTCCAAATGGGGGATATTAAAATCACCCACCAGTTACTGTGAAAATCGTCATGTCTTCAGTAATACTTGCTAAAAAATAAAAAAGACAATGATAAGCCACATCCAATAAGCAAAAATGTAATTCTTGTTTGCAACCTTCCACCAACCCTTTCCCCTCATCAAAACAATGCATGCAACTGGAATACATGCAAGGGATACTTTCTTTATCTTGGAATGACTGCTATTTACTGTATCTTATAATATATTAGCAACCCCTGATAAACTGATAGTTGTAGTAAAACAAGACAAATTCTTCTTACAAAATATTAATAGCAGGTATTCTGTACATTTTCAATATCTGAAAGTTATAAAGTAAAAGAAGAGGCAAAAACCTATCTGAGCTATGTTCTTCTTAGAAATTGAAAACTTGTGGGATCCTGTTCACGTTCCTGTCCGTTTCAGTCCTTATGCTCTCATCCCGGCTTGCCGAGGGAGGGAGGGATCAGTCCACGGGTCCATAAACGTCAGGAGAAAGTCACCCATTGTCCATGTTACAGCAGAAGCTTGCCGTTACGATGAATCTTTAAGATTTTTCCAAGTCTCTGTTTGGCCGTTGCCATTCCTTTCTTTAGCCGCTTGGCTGTGGGCGAGACAAAGCAAAATGGTTAGCATATGCAACAACAACTTTGCAACTCTGTGATCACGGCAATACATTATTAAGCCACAGCTGTGTCAATAAATTATTAAAGATCGCGAAATTGCAACTCTCATATTGGCCAGTGCAGCATAAACAAACCTTTAAACATGAATCGATACTCATCACAGAAGATCTTATTTATGTTTTGGCCAAAATCACCTTTGGCGTCTGTCGAGTTCCCACGTTCGACTTTTGCTGGCGGGACAGATGAAGTGTTCTGAGATGACGATGATGATGAAGGCCGTCTCTGGCTGAGGAAGACTCCGGGGGCCATGGGTTGCGAGCTGCCGGCGGTCTTGCTCGTTCCAGTGCTGTACTCATGGTCGCCCAGGTTGGTCTCAGAGTCCGGGGTGGGTTCTGGAGAGCTGCTGTCCTGAGAGAGTTTGTGAGGCTCCTCTACAGCTACGGGCTTCTTTTTGGTACTCTTTTTCTTCTTCTTGATCTTCTGCTCCTCCTGTAGCAAGAACTAGTTAGTAGGGCCATTTAGCTAAATCAGTCTTAAGATGTTTCTATTAAAAAAATGGAAGCTATTAGAAAGGATTCAGAATTTCTTGGTATTCATCTCTTTTACTTTAATGACACTCGAGCTGCATGAACTCCACAAGTGTGTGTAAAACCTGAAGATCATGTTCTTCACAAGCTTGTCTTGTGCTTTAAGACACAAAGGAGTTCACATGGTCAATGCCACAAATTTGTGACCATAAACAGTGCAAGATGTTAAATATCTCTTCATTGTACATCAAAATCCAAAATCTAATCTTTCAAAATTATACAAACTATATATCCAGGATAAAATGTTCATGTGGTCTCAGGCATTTGGACTGTAAATGAATGGCGGGGTGCAATGCAATGATTCCAAATGCAACATCCACAAAATTGTAAATAAATTAATTGTTTTACACAGTATTTACTAGGGCTATACGATTGGGGGGAAAATGCTAATGCAATTTCTCTGGCAGTTTTAATTAGACTAGGTTTGCTGTGCTTGTTTGTAGGCCAAACTTTTGTGATTACCAATATTATTACAAAATAGTATTAATAATAATACAAATTATTATTATTAATATTATTTTATTCTGATTATTATATTACTATTATTACTAACTAACATTCTTAAAATCTAAATTAATACTATTGTAATATTTCACTGTAAATGTAAAAAAATTAGTATTTCAGAAAAATATAATAATTTTATTTTACAGTACAACTGTAAAATTACAATACTAATACTAGCTGTCTTTCTTCATTTTCAAATTTTAATCCAATTCATCTTTTATTTTGGTAGAAAACCACAGCTTCTCATTTGCTGGTAACAGTAAGTGTATATAAATGCTTTTTATTGCAACCTTGAGAAGGTGGGTGATATATATTCCCAAATACATGTTATAAGCGAACCAAGCTCAGAGCAGATGCAGAAATGGAGTTTGTGTAGTGCAGTATGAACTTTGAACGGAGCTGCTCCAAGACACTGAAAACAGTGGGTTATGAGCTGCATGCATGGAAATGAACACTTTGAAACACGCACCACATGTATTTATGTAATGAATTAAATCACACTAAGCCATATTGCGATTTTAGCTTTATATACAGTATATTCATTGTGTGCATCCCTAGAATTTACTTCATTTAAAAATAGAAACATAATAAAATGTCAAATGTAATAAAGCATTAACCTGATGAGACAATTTAGCCGCCGCAGCTGCCAATCCTGTCTCTATGGACGCCACACGTGCTCCATCCCGAGCTGGTCTCTCCTGTCGTGGTACAGTGGGCCCAACTCGTGCTGCAACAGTATGAATATAATCCCATGTGGTTCAATTTACATTATAGTCAGATTCCCACCTGAAACTGTAAACTTTGCACTACCTGTTGGACTATATGGAGTGTCATCTGTATTTTTCCTTTTTTTCGATCTCGATTTGAAAATGGGACTGTCCTCTTCAGATTCCAGAGATGGATAAACTGGAAAAAACAAACAAAAACACATCATTTTCATTTAATTCCCTTTTTAGCATCTAAGGCTATACATTCATGCCAATTAATATAGAGTAATAAGAGTAATACATTTAAAATAATCATAATAACAACAATACTTCAATAGTTTAACAATATTATCTTTATAAGCAAACAAAACAAAAATAAATAAATGAAAATGCATGGTTACAAAAAGCAAAAGTTAGCTAATTCTACAGATGCCACCATTTTCATTCCTTTTGGAACGTCTTCTCTTTTTGAAACGCCATATGCATGGTTTAAAGTCGCTAGAGAAAGCAATGTAAATGTGCATTGTCGAAGCACATTAGTTTTAAACATATAGCTTTACATGAGAAAGCCCCCTGTTTTTGCACTCCATAAACTACAGTGCTAAGTATTTTCTCATTGGACAGGATGTTTAGCGTGACACAGATGCACGGCAGCTGTTCCTTGCCCTGCCTCGGCCTGCATGCACCTAGCTTCTTTGAACTCAACTACTCAGGAACACGCAATTTCCAACAATTAAATTATCAAGACAAAGAAAAAAAAATGTTTACAGAAAGGAGGAATGCCTGTGTGTTTGATAAAACTCTCTCTTAGTGTGAGTCCAAACGGGAATGTGCGTGCTAGTAATGACTAATTAGGGTATCAGATCAAAAAGCATTTAAAAAAACAGTTTAAAACTCATGCTAATGGATTATTAACAGGCTACTAATGGTCTTGCTGTTCTTGGAATGGGTTCACAAAAGCTATAAAAGAGACCACTCAGAAGGGGGGATTGAAAAGTTCTAGCTGAGAGTAAACACGCCTGTCACTTTTCCGTGAATGAGAACCCTTAAGTCAAAATCAAACTCTAATCAGAACATTGATAGAGCAGATTTACACTGTTTGGCTTTGCTCTAAGGGCACCTGGGCAATTCCAAGCCATCATGAAACATCCTTGACAAATTGTCTCAGAGGAACTAATTGGTCTTGATAATAGTGCAAACAAGCTATCCAAGATGAAGGTATGAGAGAATTGCAATCTGTTCTCCAAATGGGTTCTTAAAGGGATAGTTCAGCCATTCCAAACCCTTTTTTCTTCTGAAGCTTGGGGTCCAAGCAACATTACACAAATTAATTGTATGGACAACAAAACTATGGACTTTTTTCTAAATATCTTTTGGGTTCCTCAGAAGAAAGAAAGTCAACTTTGTGTGAACTGTCGCTGTAAGCACAGTAAAAGTATAAGTTTGAAGAACTTACCGTAATCAGAATCCCTAAAGCAAGCTTCCAGGTGGTCCTGGTCATCATCGAACATGTCCAAACTGTCCACGCTGCTGCTCTTTTGCGTCTTCTTGGGCAAGCGTTTGGCCGGTCGCTTGCTGTTACCCCCTGCTCCGGCCATGCTGCTCTGCTTCTTGCTGGCTGTGCTGCTGTGCGAGTTGTTCTTTGCTTGGCTATTGCTCCAGGACGTTTGCAGGCAAGAGTCTGATGACTGCAGGTTAGCCATGGACAACATGCCCTGGATGGCCTCCTGTGTGCTGGGGGATGCAGGTGGCTGACTGTAAGTCCATCAATGAGAAATACACAACACACACGTACATTACTCCGAGTGTCAGTGGCAATGAGAAGCGATTCGAATTTTAGGTAGTGAGTTGGGTGATGGAAAGCAACGAGGTTGGAGATGCACACTTAAAGGTGAAGTGTGTAATTTCTGCACCACTAGTGAGTCAGACAGATTTCCCAGACAAATTGTCCCAAACAGACAGCATTGGCTGGGTTGGTGGTCAAGATGCTTTTATTTACAACTAAAAATCGAAATCAGGAAAAGCTATTTGTGAATAAAGCGGTATATCCAGGCCAAATTATAAAAACCACATGAATACATCATGAAGAAAATGTGTTTCCACTGTAGTTACGGTTCATGTCTTCAATCACTTAATAAACGCAAAAATGTGCATTATTAAATTTGTTTGCATCTTGATATAAATTAAATTAAATTAAATACAAAGCACATAAAATTACTAAAACTTAAACTTAAATGAAAAGGGAAAATATAAAAGCTTATTCAAAAAATTATAAATACTATAATAATAATAATATATAACCAATACTAAAATAACACTGGTGATATCCCAAAAATGAAAAAAAAAAAAAACTAACTAATTTTGCACTTTCAGGGAAAAACTAATAGTTTACATATAGTCAAAACAGTAAAAAACAAAAAATAATTGTATAAAATATTGAAATATTATACATATTATAGTATAATATTTTAATATTGAAAACATTACACACATCACCTTTAAACCACCATAAAAATGTTTGATGTCATTTCCACTGCAGCGGAGGTATGGCATTGTTGTCTGGACTTGAATCTAAAGCAACCGTTTCGTTGATAATTACATTTAATGGGTGGGCCTGGCAAACTAACATGAAAATCCAAGTTAAGATTCAACACAAGGTATGCCTGCATTATCTATAATGTCTCTAGTTCCATTTATACTGAACCGTCATTCAACCAAAACTGAAAGGCACAAACCAGAACTGACTTGTTCTCTTACAATCACATCTGCTAAAATAATAAACCACCTATCTGCACATCTCACTCTTGCTTTTCTAACTTACCTGCCACTAAACGTTCATTTCCTGTTAATCATCATATAAATCTCTTCATATACCGTAAATCTTTTCGTGTCAGAAGAAGATTCTGCCGTGTGATCTGAGAAGACTATTGTGTCCACATCTGCTTTTGAGCTTGAGGTAACCAGCAGAAAATACAAATTTAGCCTGTGCAGATTACCACCTATTAAGTGATTAACCAGTGAAGTGGAACAATGAGTCAAAAGCTCGTTTAATGTGGTCGCAACTGACTGGAGGCATTTCCTCCCCACAATCCTGCACTCGTATGTCAGGTTTAAAAGCACAAAAAATTATTTGAGAAATTAACATATTTTAGCCATGTTTTCGTTCTCATTTTGTGTTGAGCTGATTTGCAGCTTTCAGCTCAGTGGAAATAGACCATCAAAAATGTGCCCAAAACAGCAAACAGTAAAACGAAGAGGAATGGCCTGAAGCTTTTGCTGTATTTGACAAATTAATAGTGCAGAGGGATTAAACAAATAATGCCAGCACATGTAAACCGCTTATAAAGAACCGTGCAAACTATTACTTTCGCCATCGTCCGACAGATGAAGAAATGCCTGTGCTCGATGTGTTTACAGCCAGTGTGAAGTGTAAGAACTAACAGTTAAGCTAGAAATATGACGTGTTTCAGTTCAGACATGCTTCATCATAAATTGTATGTTCCCTATGGCCCTCTGCCAAAGACAAAACATGTCCATACTCTGTCACATTAACTAAGGATGTGCAAAACGGACCAATCGATGGATTGTCTAAACAACTAGTCGCTTAAGGAAGCCTTGTATAATTACACTAGTTTAGGGTCAGATACTAGTCATGATTTTTCACACAAGACACATTCTTGTGTTCAAAAACAGTTGGATGGAGCAAAACAGCATGGAACAGAATGCCATGTATTTTTAAACTGTTTTAACTTGAAACAAACACAGTTGGGTGCAGCGCAAGGGCTAAAGATGTCCATCTGCATGTGTATATGCATCTAAAACATTTTTAAAAATATAAGCTTAAATGCGAAATTGACAGAAGTTCAAATCAATAAATATATGGGCTAAATTTTTAGAACACTTCATTGCACAAAATCTACACAATCACCGAAGGCTATGGATTATGAAATGTCATATTGAAGGCAATGCTGTACTAGAGGGAATTAATTTCTCAGAAACCGTTTGCCATTCTGATAGTGTCAGCATGCCAAAGTATACCAAGCTAAAATTCACAGAAGTGACACTCTTTACTCTTTAAAGTTCTGCTGCTAAAAATACCAAAGCAAATCTAAAAACATTAAATAAGTAAATAACCTATTAAGATCTATTAATAAAGCCTTTCACGCACATATGGAAAACAGTCATGTGTGTACCTGTTGTTGCTGTAGTCAATGCCGCCCACTTGTTTGCTGGCCTGCAGGAGATCCAGAATCCCAGCTGAACTGCCTCCTTTATTCTTAGAGACCTTGGAGTTACGACCTTTGACCTCTGTCTTGGCCTCTGTGTCTATGTGGAGAGATTCCTCATCTGATGAATCTGGACTCTGAAATAACAAAAGTATAAACACACTCCATTTCACATAAGCTGGTAAATGTTTTGCCTTAGCAAAATACTAATATACCCTGACCTGAGCACACATATGTGCATAGACATTATCAAAAGTAGACATGATTTTTCTTAGGTTTGTGGTTTTTTATTGGTATATCCTATAACCTTCTGTAACCCCTAAAATAGTTTGCCTGTGGGCCTCTGTCGTGATCAACTTTCTCACTCTCATTTGATTCAGTCCACAGCTATTTCCTTCATCACTTTTGAGGTGATATTTGGCTCCGTCTTGCAGCTTGCTCTCTTTGATTTGTGCCGTATGTTGGTTTAAGTCGGAACATAATGGGTGAATTATTACAAGCCGAGAACATCAGCGCTATGATGTTTTAAATGCATCCAGAAGGTTTTAATTAGCTACTTCATGAAATAAAGATTGGAGATTTAGATTTTGTCCTAATTTCTTCCTGTTTACTGTCAATCAGCCTTTTAATGTTATTACCACTCTCTGATTAAAGAGAAATATTATTGATGTTCTGTCAAATAACACTGGACCGGCTATCTAAATAGAGTTTATGCTCACCTTCATGTCCGACTGTTGTAGCTTTGGCTTTTTCGCTGGCTGAATGGGCTCTTTGATGTTTGATAAAACTGTAAATAGCATCAGATGTTCTGCATTATTCTCACATAGCATGAGATGAAAGTTAAAAGACAAGTGTATCTCTTATAGGCAGGCCAACATGGAATCGGTGGTAGAGGATTTCCACGTAATCTGAATGGCTGTCACTACAAATTTCTACATATGCATCAGCCAGGGAGCAAAATGGACACTGCCAAATACAAGCAAAAACTGTCATTAAATTAAATGCACAGGACAGTAACTGCAACTTTATCTTGAAATTTAGGATTTTTTTTTACTACATGTCGTAACATGTGAAATAATAATAATCATAATCTACTGATGCAAGAAAAAGAAATCAAAATGCAAAATAATTCACTGTTATTAGGACAACATATTACTTCTTAAAAACTATTACATTTGTAATATTTAATATATTATTAAAGTAATGAAAAACAGATCATTGCCCATAAGAATTATTCATGACCAGTCAAATTTGACTTAATTCACTCGTCATTGGCAGATTTAATTTTGGGCCCTTGCTCCGCCCCTTTTGTGTTTGTTTATTAAATATTTTTGATTATACTTTCAGATACCAATAAGACTATAGTACTGTTTAACACTCATTACTGTAGTCTTTCACCTAAAATCTGTGTAATAAATGCAACAGAAGTCTGCAGATTCCATCTGGGCCTGATTATAAAGTCTATAATCATTTTTGCTCTTAAATGATGTTTTATTTAATCAGAAAATCACCCTGACCCAGATCGCATATCATGAAACCTTACAGGAAAAATCTCTCTTGACTGCGTTCTTTTTCCTCCTGATTGGGAATTCGTCAATCTTAAGCTCCCCTTCATCAGAGACATACTCATACTCGTCTCTCACGGGCTTGGGTTTTTCTTCTTTTATGTTCTGTATTGAGCCAAAAACACTCGAATTGGTCTGGGTCTTGAGCATCTTTGATCTGAGAAAGCCAGATGATGGAAAAGAACATTAGTTGGATTGTCAGAAGAGACAATCTGGTGCAAAAACACAGAATTGCTCAAAATTAGGGCTGTCAACTGAATTAAAATATTTCTAAATGATTAGTATAATGACATGATTTTTATTAAAATCAATAAATGTATGAAATGTCAGAATTAAGTTCAATACAACTGCACTTACCCCAACAACTTCTTATTCGACAAAGAAAATGAAAATTTATTGTCTTTATGGCTGAGTAGACTTTTGTCAAATTTGTGCTCTTCTTCCATTTTCAATAACGAATCGGGTTTGCTATTCTGAAAGATGAAAAGAAACCCCAAACGACAATCAGTGCTTTGAAACTCTTCCCGTCTCACACATATCACAGGTCTTCACTGTCAGCTTCTATCTGTCAGCCACGTCCACTGTGATCAGACGTCAAAGAATGAAGCCATTGCGGCTGATGACCTTGAAGACTATCTAGCAGAGACTCCTCTCCATCTGCAAATGTTTGGCAAGCAGCAAAGGAGCACTCGGATCAGGAGACTTGGAGCAACTACAAACATTCCTGGGCTGTCTGGCATTGAATTTTCCTCCTTGAACGAAAGCCCTGTAATGCCTTCCGTTCACCAGAATTAAGCTTTTCCTACAAAAGCCATCCCATGTTATCCAACAATAATGACACAACACACTCATTTTTAGAGCAGAAAGGACGGCATATGTAAATACTTAGCTGGCATGTCGGGGATATGACATAGCATTATAGCATTAGGTAAACTCTGAGCCTGGGTAAAGGGTTCTGCTGATTTGATGAGCCCATAACAAAGAGAGTGACTGAGCCGCAGAGTTATTTCTGCTGATTGCTTTGATATGAAACGTGTAAATCACTTCTGGAGGATCGCAAAGCCCTATGTGCTACTTTTCAACTTGTCGGGGTTTGATATCATTTGCATGGATTTTCAAAGCTTCGCTCTAGCACTGATCTATGTTGCAGTGGAGGAAATCATTACGCTTGTGTTACACCACGACCCAGAGTTATTCATTACAGTTGTTTCCTTATATTGTAAATCTAACAAACTTACCTTATATTTCCATTTGGCCTCCGTCTTGCTCTTATTATGCTCTCGAATCATCTTAAACTTATCAACATCATTCGGTTTACTCATCTCCCTCTCCATGATACTCATCCCAGTCTTTACCAGCTGTGTAATGTGAGAGACAAGAAAAGTTGAACATTATAAATGGATTCAAGTGCATACCGACATTACCGAGAGTTCTAAAGATATTCACCATATATTCACAATGATTCTGCTAGTGCAGCATCATTATATATTGTTCATGTTCAGTTTATTTCAGTAAACCGATTCAAAACTGTTACTGGAAGTTAGATATTTCTAACGTTACAGAAGATTTATACTTAAAATAATCCTATTCATCAAAGAATCCTAAAAAATATATCAGTTTTCAAAATTGATAATAATAATTTCTTGAGCACCAAATTAACATATTTGAAAAATTTATGAAGGATCATTTGACTTTGAAGACTGGAGTAATGATAGGATCATAGAAATATAAAACTATAAAATATAATTTAAAATACCTGTTTTATATTTTAAATTATATTTTATAGTTTTATATTTCTGTGATTATATTTCACAATTTCACTGTTTTACTGTGATCAAATAATGCAAATAACCTTTGAACAGTAGTTTTGTTTTGTACAAAATTTTTACTACATTTTACTTATTGCATTAAGTATTTTGTTAAAATACACCCTTTCAAGTAATTTCAAATACATAAATATATATGGAATATCATAAGGCTGAGAAAACTTTACTTTTTTGGGCTGGTCCATCTTGTTCAGGATGTCCTTTGCATGGGATTCAAGAGCTGCCAGACTGGAGGGCTTTTTCTCAGGTAAAATACTTTCTTTCGCTTTCTTTGTTTTCTTTTTGCCACCTTCTTTTATTTTGGGTTCCTTCGGTGGTTTGGGTGCCTTGGGCATTTTGGGTGGCTTTATGGCTTTCTTCCTGGTTGGCTTATCTCTTGGAGGGGTGGAGATGTGGGCAGGGGACATGGGCTCTTCTGGTTCTGATGGAGCAGACGGGGGTTCCTCTGCCGGGGGCTTTGAGTTGCTGGGTTCATTCTTTATGGCTTTTGTTGCGTTCTGAGTCAAAGACACAGTGGAAGTTGTCAACCATTACTGATTCTGACAATAGTTGATTCAACATGTACAAAGACATTCTACATAATAAAAATCCAGATCATATCTGAATAAATGAGAGTAAAGACAAGTCTCCAACGACTTCACAACGTCTCACCTCTGAAATCCGAATCTCTTTGGCAAGGTCTTTAATGAGCTGTGGTGGCTTCATGTTTTCTGGAAGCTCGTCCTCATGTTCTAAAAGAGCCTTTGAAAAAAGACAAAAGCAAGAGTCACGGTCAACTTACATTATTTAAATCAGCAAAACTAGTACAGAATATCGAAAATAATACAATTCATAGCAAGATGTACCTGTTTTTTAGTCCACGATCTGAATGCTCCGTTGACAATTTTGGCACCCTGTACCAAGTAAGGAGGTGGCTGTTTGTTTGCCTTATGTAAACCTGCAACATGATCAGGAAATTTTGCATCAGAGTCCATTATTCCCATCTGGATCCAAACACTCATCTAGTGTCATATAAGTAACATAGAAAGGGCTGTTTTCTAAATAGGCGAATTGGTGAAAGGTCCAACTTTCCTTAAATCATTAGCAGCAATGCATAAGACCGTGGTTGCCCTGTCAGAAACACTCAAGAGCATGAAACTCACTGAAAGAAGTGGGGAAACATTACACCAGAAATAAAAATGGACTACATTTTCAACCGAACCCATTACTGTTCATTAACAAAGGCCATTCATATATCAAACTGATTACTTCAATCCAGAGCGGCCCAAAAACAGTCATGCGCCTTTTTGGAGCACCGGCTTCAACATTGATTACATTGGACTGGATAAACAGCCACTACAGGAAATATATTCCACACTGCATTTAAATTAATAACATGAACATAAAGTGAAAGCTGAAACACTGAAATGAGAAGAGAAGCAATAGAGCTGGCAGTGGCCCAGTCGGCCTGCTGGGCCAGGGGCCAAGGACTTTTTTCCCTCTACCTGAAGTCACACACGAGAGTTGAGCCCTTAAAAAGATGACCTTGAAAGGCGATTTCCCCCCTCTGAACATCAGATAGCTCGGAGACCAACTGCGGTCCTTTTTGCAATGTGCGCTCTACAGCAATCTGGCAAAATTAAGTAACGTGACGGGGTAAAATGGTGGAAATATAAACACGCAGTCCAGATGAGGGGAGTTTAAAAACCAGGTTGTAATGGAGCAAGTGATTCTGCCTTTTGAAGCTAATCATCTGTGAACTCCACGATGCACCGATCTAATGACTGCAATAATATACCGCTATCCAGACCCTCCTCATCTGCTCAGCAGACCCCTTCCAGGATCACGCACGAAGCGAGCGAGAAGGAAGCCATTTGAGTCTACCTTACGACATTAGATCTTTTTATTTCCAGTCCCAAAGTTCACTGTTATGGATCAATCTTGTGCTGTGCAGGATGGAAAGGCAATTTTTGAAAGCAAAACCTTTGAAGCCACTTCAGGGGAGTCACACATGGGAGCTTTGCTGTGAATGATTTAAGTTTGCAATAACGTAAATGGCTGCCGTGAAAAAAGTTGACACTTTGTACTTTTTTACTTTTAGTTTGGTGAAACTACAAAATGAACTAAAAATATATATTTTTTTTTTCATTTATTTTTAATAGTTTTTATTAATTGCTCACCTTTAAACCTCTCCAGGTAGTATTTCCCCACATACCAACATGCTGTTTCGAAGTTTGGAAATGGAGTGAGGCTGGCAACTTTGAGTCTTTTTTCCACCTCGTATGCCCTGAGTGGAGAAGCAAAGAGGATTACTGAAAAGTGTGCCTTGAGAGGAAATCGTGGTCTCACACATGTGAAAAATGCACTTCAGAAGGCAAAAGCATATGCTCTTGACTTCCCCTCTTTTTTTCCTTGCTACAGAGGCTTGAAAGTGCTAAGAATAGAACAGGGAATGTTTGATGCTTGAGCGCTTCAATTGCATCACCGTCCACCAGCTGTCACTGCATGGCAAACTGCATGGAATAACTTTCAAATGGCAAACATTAGGCCTTTATAATTCCACATAATAATCTCAGTACGCATCCACCCCACTATACTTAATATATTTACAGTTCTATATATGTAAGCATAGTTTAAACAACCTGATACTGAGATATACTGCTAATCTAACAATGCATCAAATGCAACATTTCTCTCACTTTGACACATTGTCTTGAGTAGATTACTTTGAGCAGATCACTGACCTCATTTGCATCTCCACACTCAGACTGTGGACAAAATGTCCAGAGAAGGCTAAGCAGTCTACAGGAGTCAGTATTGCATTAATCCAACCTGCCGTTAAATACAAAACAAGGCAATGTTGTTATCTAAGAACTTCATGAAGTCATTTAAAAGTAAAAATGATTAAAAATAATCTCACCTGATGGAATGAAAAGAGTTTGCCCTTGTTTCAGTGTGCACTTGTAACACTTGTCCACTTGGTCAGCAAAAAACATCTCGCTGTGGTTGGAGGAGGACCTCCAGCGCTCGTATAGAGAAAGGTTGGCAGAAGTGGGCTTGATCAGAAAGAAGATTTTCTCTCCCTTTACAACACACAGATGAAATACAAAGTTCAACACCCACTATGCAACAGTATTCAAATGAATGAATGCAGTGCTTGGTCAATTCAAATCAAGTATTCAAGAGAACAATGTAATAAAGTCAATCTTATGTACTAAATTGACTAGTTAATTATTGACAATATAAATTAGTTACTCACAGAAATTACGACTTTTGTTTTACTTTACACCATATTAATAACTGATGAATTAATTAATCAATAAATTACATACTTTAAAATCATTTAAAAATACAACACTTCCTTAAAGGGTTAGTTCACCCGAAAATGAAAATTAGGCTGCGTTGTACTCACCCCCGAGGCATCCTAGGTGTATATGACTTTCTTCTTTCAGACGAATCCAGTCGGAGTTATATAAAAAATTGTCTTTGATCTTTCAAGCTGTTTAATGCCACTCAGCGGGTGTTGCATTGCTTCAGTCCAAAAGAACTGAAAAGGCCTTCTGTAGCGAATCGATGCGTTTTTGATAAGAAAAATATCCATATTCAAAATGTAATAATCACTTGAATCTAGCTTGCGCTCACTGTTGTAAACAGAAGCAGTTCCAGGGGGAATGAAGTATGAGGTCGGCTTTGCGCATGCGCCGCTCATGAAGTGACGCACGCGGAAACGCAGCGGAGAGATCAAAACAAAACAACGGTCAAGAATTAGAAGTACAAAACGAGGATTTGTAAAGAAGAATGTCAGAGGATTTCGATATAAGCCAAGAGGAGACTGGTTTTCCTTTGCTAAAGTAAGGAAACTTTGCTTCCTTTGCTCCTGTTAAACAAACGTTGGTTTTCACGAGACTCACCGGCGCATGCGCAACGCTGACCTCATACGTCATCCTCCCGGAGCTGCTTCCGTGTACAACTGTTGGCGCAAGCTACATTAAAGTGATTATTATGTTTTGAATATGGATATTTTTATTACAAAAACGCATCGATTCGCTACAGGAGGCCTTTGTTCACCCCCCGGAGCCGCGTGAAACACTTTTTTTATGGATGGGCGATTTTTATTTAAGTTCTTTTGGACTGAAGCAACGCAACACCCGCTGAGTGGCATTAAACAGCTTGAAAGATCAAAGACTATTTTTTATATAACTCCGACTGGATTCGTCTGAAAGAAGAAAGTCATATACACCTAGGATGCCTCGGGGGTGAGTAAAACGCAGTCTTTTTGGGTGAACTAACCCTTTAAGTAAAATCATGGTAAGCGTTAAGAATAATGAATACAAATTTGAAATACTTTTCATTTTAGCAATAACATTGAGATATAACATGCAGGAGTCACCTTAAGTACATGATACCACACAGAGGCACCTCCACACTCAATGTGGAAGTCTGTGTAGCTGTCTTTCACACATATGAGACAGTATTTGGACACTTTGGGCTTCCCCAACAATGCATCGTCAGGCCAGTAATTTTCCACCCAGGATAACTTCCGAACTATTTGCGGACTCTCAACAATATCGGCCATTCTAGAGACATAAAAGGAAGAATAGTAAATACTCCTGTTACAAAATGAAATGACACACATTAATAAACTGACATCTGGAGTGTGTATTGTACTTAATATTGTTGCTACATGTATCTGTTGTAAAATGTGAACATTTTCATTTTTCATTATTACTTAGAAAAAAACTGAAGCAATGTTTAACTGAGAAAGAAAAAAGGCTAAATGCCTTTTAATTTGCTAATATTTATGTTAATAATAATGACCTTTGAAATATATAAAGGCGTGTGCGTTAGTGCATTTGCTGTATCAAAATTGCTACCAAAAATGTGAAATTTCACTGGCATTTGTATAGACCATCTTCACAACCCTATCTGACTTTGTATAGGACTGCTTACCTTGTGTCTGAAAACTCTAGGTTGATCACATTTAATACTTTCTTTCTGTTTGTGCTGTAGTAAAAATCAACAAATTCTTTCAACTTCATCTGGCTTTGTGTCTGTTTGGTCACATCGACAACATCCACAAGAACATCAGGTCCTTTGAACGAGAAAAGTTAGAAATCAAATGAGAACATAAACATATTGCACATACAGATATACTTCCATACTGATCATCAAAAAAGAGGAACATTGGTTTTATCATACCTCATAAAACACTTACCAACATAGTTTTCCACATCACTGACGTAGAACGTGGGTGCAGGCATAGCCATCCCCAGCCCATCTTTCTTCTGGATGAGAATTGGCTCATTGAATCCATTCTCCTCAAGGTAGTCCAACGTCATCTGACTTCCAGACAGCTTGACCACTACATCTTCTGCACTGCAGTGGAAAACAAACCGTCAGCATGTTACCTACACTATTTCTCCAAGACATCATACTGGAATCTTCATCAGTTTGCATGTCTGGTGGAAAGTTCAGAGCCTGAGCAAAGCTGTACATGGAGCGCCATCTACTGGACACTAAATGAACTGAAGGACTTGGACTTTATCAGGAGCACTGGCCCTTTAAATTCTTCACTGGCATGATCTTCACAAAGGTGTACTGTACCTGGGGAATGTCCTGCTGCGCAGCTCTTTTATGAACACCTGACTGCCGTTTTGAACCGGTCTGACGTCTCCACTTTGCCCCGTGTCATGCTTATTCCAGCTCTTTTTCTTTTTCACTGTTAAAATTGTAAACAGATGAAACCAGCCAAATCAAGATCAGACACCCCGAACACAATATACTTAAGTCTTTTTCATTGACAACAGTTACTTTATGAAGCAAAAAAATTACAAAAACGTTTGCAAGCTGCAAAAGCAAAAGCATAAGTGTATGAGTGTGTACAGAAAATAAGAACATTTTAAACATCAACATAATGGTTTGGTTTGTAACCAAAACTGTGTCATTTTAAAGTGAATTATTTTCGTAAATCTAAATTCAGTTGGAGGTCTTTAATGGGATAAATCTACTTTAGTTGTAAATCAATTTGATCACTTTTCTAAAGCTTGTTTTTATTTATTAAAGTGTTGGATTGATACAACAAATAAAGACCCTCATCTTTTTTTTGTACAAAAATATAATACTGAAAATGATGATTAATTAAAATATAAATTAAATCCAAACAAAGAGAAAAAAAAATACAATAAACCAGTAACATTTTAGAACATTATTTATTATAACATTATATGTTTTATATTTTAATATATTTTAAAATGTAATTTACTCCTGCAATACCAAAGCTGAATTTTTAGCATCATTACTCCAGTATTCAGTGTCACATGATCCTTCAGAAATCATTCTAAAATGCTGAATTAGTTATCAAGGAACATATTATTATCAATGTTAAAAACATTTGTGCTGCTTAATATTACATATATTTATGGTAGTGTGTGTGTATACAGTGGTGGCCAAAATGATCAGAACACTAGTATTTTCACCAGATAATAAAAGTAGTTTTTTTATATCTTTTGCTGTAGTGTGTCAGTAGGAAATATCATTCATTCATTTTGCCATTAATTGTAATAATCCAGTGAAATTTTTGTTTGCACATGGAGTCTGAAAACAGCCAGTGCTACACACAGAGATCTGGTCTCATCTTCATCCAGAACAAACTGAGATAGACTAAATCCAGAAGAACTGTGGCAACGTCTCCAAGACGCTTCAAGAGACCTATATATGAATAATGAATTATATATAAACAATGAATTAACTTGAGCTGAATAGCAACACTTTCGCCTTTTATAGAGCTGCTTATAGCTGAACTGAACACATTTAATAATTGATGAATCAACACTGAGCTGAATAATAACCCCATTGTTGTTTAAAATTGAACTTTGTCTCATTTGACTGTTATTTTCTTGTTTATTACTGTAAAGCTGCTTTGAAACAATCTGTATTGCATAAAGCGCTATATAAATAAAGGTGACTTGACTTGAGTAACACCTAATTCATTCACAGTATAAATGAAAGATACTTGCAGGTGGATTTGCCGTGGGTCTTTTCACAGTTAGGACAGTGATAGATGTCAATATCTGGTGCTTCATCTTCATCCACTCCCACACAGCTGTAACATAACAAACAGCATATCAGCACTGAGTTAACGGCAAATAAAATCTGGTTAATCATGGTTCTGTAAAACATATATACTGCCTACACAAGTACTCAAAGATCTGGTTCTAATAGAATCATACTTCACTGACAGCCATTCAAAATCAGCCATGGATTCTGATGAAATATTCCGAATGGGAATGTTAACAGATGGCTTTCTCCAATCATTATCTACCCACTGCTATTTTCCAGGCCATGGCTGCCCCTTAGAGAAGCCCTAGTGGTCTGCTTTGTTTAGCAGGCTCAGGCTACATGTCCTGAGGTTTTGGAGGTCCGAGGCCCCAGGGAACCGTCCTGGTCCATAACCCAGTCCTGCACGGTGGGGATGGTGCGTTTCCGATGATGCACAGTGTTCAATATAATAATAATTTCAAACATTTATATAGCGCTTTTCTGGGTACTCAAAGCACTTTACATGGAAGGAGGGGATCTCCTCAAACACCACCACTGTGCAGCATCTACCTGGATGATGCGACGGCAGCCATAGTGTGCCAGAACGCCCACCACACACCAGTTTATTGGTGGAGAGGAGACAAAGCCAATCAGTAGATATGGGGATGGTTAGGAGGCCATGATGGTCAGAGGACAATGGGCAAATTTGGCCAGGATGCACAGAGAGTCGGGACCTCGGTTTAACGTCTCATACAAAGGACGATGCTTTTTTTACAGTATAGTGTACCCGTCACTATACTGGGGCGTTAGGACCCACACAGACTGCAGGGTGAGCACCCCCTGCTGGCCTCACTAACACCTCTTCCAGCAGCAACCTAGTTTTTCCAGGAGGTCTCCCATCCAGGTACTGACCAGGCTCAACCCTGCTTAGCTTCAGTGGGCAACCAGTCTTGGGCTGCAGGGTGATATATGCAGCTGGTATACGCCAAATATGGCATTTAGTCTGATGGCCAACAAGCTCAACCTTCTTCCAGCTGGCTTCAGAGTCTACCACATGCCTTCTGGCAAAACTACAACTGAGCTGTCATGTGACATTTTTAACAGTGGCTTTCTCTTCACCACTGTCCCATTAAGCTGTTGAAGCACCCAAGCAACAGTTGTTGTATCACAGTCACTTCAGAGTTGTCAGTAGTCACTTAGTGACCCTTGACTTCACACAAGTGATCTTCGTTTAACTATTTGTGTCTTGAAAACCCAACTGAGTGCACTAGCGTGTCATATAAGAGGGACAGTCCACCCAACAATGAAAATTCTGTCATCATTTACTCACCCTCATGTTGTTCCAAACCTATTATTTCTTCTGTGTAACACTGAAGAATAATATTGTGAAGAGCTAAAAAGTTTTGGTTCCCATTCAACTCCATTGTATTACCAAAAAAATACAATGGAAGTCAATAGGAACCAAAACAAACCAGCATTCTTTAAAATATCTTATTTTGTGTTCCACGGAAAAAAAGAAAGTCATATAGGTTTGGAACAGCATGAGGGTGAGAAAGTGAGGAAACGAGAATTTTCATCTCTTTAATTATTTCACATCTGTTTTATATTGACATTACAAGTCTGATCAGTAGCAAAAATAAAAACAAAAACATTTCAATGGTGTAAATGAAGCAAACATGAAAAACCTCCCAGAAGCTCAAAACTTTTTATAGGCACTGTATGCAGTTTTGTCACCCCATCTGCAGAGCAAATGTTCTCCCTATAATAATATAACCCCTATAACACATTCCTGCCATTAGAAGGAGCTGTTCACGGGTCATGAGTAAATACTGAATTGGGAGTGTCCACTATGGCTCTCCTCCAGTGGTATAATTACTATGTGCAGTGGTATTAATATCACACATGCTGTCCACTCAGATGGTGGGTGGTGTCAGCACCCTTGAATCATAGCAAAAGTGAAAGAAGCCAAGTCTCACTGAGTCTCAGTACAACAAAGAGTGCATGTGGGTGTGAAGGGTCAAAATGGAAGTCAATAGGAACCAAAACAAACCAGCATTCTTTAAAATATCTTATTTTGGGTTCCACGGAAAAAAGAAAGTCATATAGGTTTGGAACAGCATGAGGGTGAGAAAGTGAGGAAACGAGAATTTTCATCTCTAATTATTTCACATCTGTTTTATATTGACATTACAAGTCTGATTAGTAGCAAAAATAAAAACAAAAACATTTCAATGGTGTAAATGAAGCAAACATGAAAAACCTCCCAGAAGCTCAAAACTTTTTATAGGCACTGTATGCATTTTTGTCACCCCATCTGCAGAGCAAATGTTCTCCCTATAATAATATAAACCCTATAACACATTCCTGCCATTAGAAGGAGCTGTTCACGGGTCATGAGTAAATACTGAATTGGGAGTGTCCACTATGGCTCTCCTCCAGTGGTATAATTACTATGTGCAGTGGTATTAATATCACACATGCTGTCCACTCAGATGGTGGGTGGTGTCAGCACCCTTGAATCATAGCAAAAGGGAAAGAAGCCAAGTCTCACTGAGTCTCAGTACAACAAAGAGTGCATGTGGGTGTGAAGGGTCAAACCGCCCTCTCGTGCATCAGGTTTAGCAGTGAAATACACTCTTCGACTTTCCTCAGCTAATCCTTATCATGAGCATCTGCATGCTGCCATTAAGAGGCCAATCCCTTTTCAAATTAAAGGAGCAGTTTACCCAAAATGTTATATTGTTCAGTTATTTATTCACCATTATGTAATTCAAAACCCTTAAAAAAAATTATTTTGTATTCCACATAAAACAAAAATCATTTAATGTACATATGTAACATGTTTTTGATAGTAGTCTCAATGTTTGTATAAAAAAAAAAAGTATCATTTAAAATTAAATAAAAAAACAGTAAAAGCATAATATTTTGAAATATGATTACAATGAAAAAAAACCTGTTTTCTACTTTAATATAGTTTAAAATGGCATACTCCTGTGATGGCAAAATGTGATGGTAAAGCTGAATTTGCCATTTTTACTGTTAGAGAACACAAAAGTAGATTTTTTTGAAGAATATTCATGCAACAATAATTTATAACCACAGTGGTCAAGATCCAAAATGCACCAAAAACTTTAGAAAATAATATATATGTGCTATATTACTTGTGAAGTACACTGTGAAGGTTCTTCAAAAACCTCTACAGGAAAAAGGGTTAAACAACAGAAAGGTGAGTAAATAATAAGAGAATATGAATTTTTGTGTGACCAGTTGCTTTAAGACTGAATAGACAAAGCTTTCTCTCTGTCAAATGACATTCAATACAACATGTCTCATTGTGCAACCACCTGCGATGGATCCGCAGCAGAGCACATGATGATGCTTATTTACAGGGCCATTTTGTATGTTAAGTGTCAACAGTCCTAGGAGAAAGTCTCAAAAGCACTTTCCGGAAATAGTTGCGTCTTAGAAAGCAGCAACGACATCTTCAGTACCTCAATGCAGTTCTTGTACTCTAATTCGTGCCTGAATTACAAGAAAGTAGCATGATCAACAGTGTAATGACAACTAGACTCCTAGAGTCACATCGGTCAAAAGTCAAGAAAATTCAGAGGAAAAAAAAATAACTGGAAGGCCATTCAACAAAATGAATCAGGCATGAGGCCGACGTCCCTGGAAGAACATGTGACTGGATTGTCACTCTTGAGACGATGTAAATACGCACTGTTATGACAGACCAAAAAAAACATAAAGCCAAATACAAAGAAAAAACACCTTATATTAGAGTTTTGGTAATTTGCAGTACAATAGATTTGATCTGCAAATACAAAAACAACAACAAAGCATTATGGAATGTACCATGATATTATGGCGACTCTAAATGATTCTCCATGTAAAGTCGTCCTCAAGGCAGGTGCAGTTAGTGTGTTATTATAACTTATTTAATAAACTTGCACAATAGTCCAAAGCTGCTCTGTCACAGACTAGCTATTATCGTTAATGGGACAAATCTCATTTAGGATCTGATGCGACACTTGTAGCTGGCATCCTGCCCTGTGAAAGACGGGAATGATGTCATTCATTACCACTTGAGTCGTCGAGAGCACACACCCACAACCACCGGCATGTGTTTCAGTGTGTGTGTGTGTGTGTTTCAGACAGCAGTGTTAAAAAGCGCCTTCATTTCTGTTCGCCTGCCAGTAAGCTTGTAGAAATCATTATATCAACATGTTTACTCTTGATGGAAATGTATGCTGATCATAGAGGAACATTTTGGAACTGATTAAACATTTATAATATATTAAAGATTAAACATATATAACATGTATAAATACTAGGACTGTTATATGATTAATTCAGGCAACAACAGGAAGATGTAATATTGTGGAAGTGGAACTTCTTATTAATATCTTTGATGATGATGCTCATCTGTCATCTGATCAGTTTTAAAAAAGTTATTTCTAAGAGTAAAAAATTATGAAGTAGCCTTGTAGATAAGCTTTAGGTCCCATGGCTGCAAAGGGGTGAAAGTGAGCTAAAAAGTGTGGTTACAGAGTTCACATGCTGTGTAACCTTAAAGGGTTCCCACACTTTTTGACCTATACATTTCTATGGATTTTCTTTTAGCTTTCCAGTAATCTGTGGTAAGTATTTTTACAAACCATTTGGACTCATTGATTTGAAGATTCCTGAAAAGCAGAACATATAATTATGGCTTGTAAACATATTTACTCTTCATAATTTAAACCCAAGCACTGAAATATAGCCATACACCCATTTATAGCCAATAAAAGATATGGCATAGGGCAAACTAGAAAAAAAAATTTATATTCATTATATGAATTCCTTTTTTTCAGGCCTGGAAAACACAACTTTAACAAGCTCCAGATTTTCTGTAATTCTGGGAACCCTGATCCTAAGTTACTTACAGAGGTTCTTCCTACACTGTAAAGAATTATTGTGATTTTAACAGTAAAAGACTGTAAAAAGGCTACAATAAAAACCTGTTAATTGGTTATCAGTAAGTTTTCATACTATATACGGTGAATAACTGTAATTACATTCAATGTAATTTTACAGTAAAATACTGTTAAAATTACGGTTTTTGGATGTGAAAACGAAAAAGTCATTGTATAATTTAGTGAAAAACTGTAAATTGACACTCCCAGAATTCCCTGCATGACACTTCATATTTTATGTTTTTTCGTTGAAATAACTATGTTTCTTCTTAGTTTTTTCTTATCAGTTGTATGCATTAGTGTTTTATCTTACATCTAATGTTGTTAAATTAATGTTTATTGCATTATTTCAGTATCATGTGTGTTACCATGATGGTGTTTAGTGTTTGTATGAATGACACTGTGCACCTTCTGTGTATATATATTAGTATTTTCCTTCTCAGCTTTTGGAAGAGCTTATTGTGATGAGCTTTGATTCATCATGTGACTTTCTCATCACCACCCGTTTTTGGTGGTTATCAGCATTTCAATGGTTTAAAACAGATATTAGTACTTCAATATGCTGGTTTATTAACATTACATCAGTTAATTAAATAAGATTTTTTTATTGTGAATTTAAGTTAAGTCTGTAAAATGTTTCTACCATATTTTTAACGGTGAAGTTCTGGCAACCACAGCTGCCGGTATTTTACCGTAAATGTCACAGATTTTTTTTTACAGTGTACAAATGGCCAGCTGGAACTCACTTTGAATGAAAGAACTGACAATTCAAAAATATTAGCCAGGCCAAAAAAAAAAAAAAAAAGACAAAAAGAAGAGCTTACCAGTTGAATTCTGTGCAATGGATAGAAACTCCATTTTATTAAAAAAACATAAAATTAAAAAAAAATAACCAGGCCAAAAAAAAAAAAAAAAAGACAAAAAGAAGAGCTTACCAGTTGAATTCTGTGCAATGGATTTACAAGCAGTCAAGTGTGTTTAATGAAGCTGAGTGTATTACACTCCTATTATGGCTGCACAATTAATCTAATTTCTAATCGCAATTACAATTATGGATGCCACAATTATGTAATCATTCAAAGCGGCAATTAATCATTCAAAGTCCACTTATGTTGCTCTGCACGCTTAAGATATGTTTTTTTTCTTTCTACATGTTATATTAAGGGTTTTTTCCATTGTTTTAGTTTTAGTATAACATTATAATACCATTCATATATTCCGATGTATTTGACATTTGAGGATTAATACTATAGAAAAGCACTAGAAGTTTTTCAGTTAGAGTGTTTTCAGCTTGTTTATTTTCATATAAAAATACGGCATGCAGTTGCATCAAACAATGGTATAAACATCATTCAATGTAAATTGTTATAATCGTAATTAATAATCGCAATTACAATTTCAAGGGAATAATCAACAATTATGATTTTTGTCATAATCGTGCAGCCCTAACTCCTATCATCATCAAATTAACCAAAAAATGTAATAAACATACATAAAGGGTGGGGGAAGTGTATGATTGTGAATGACAGGCATTCCAGTTCTATGAAATCTGCTGAGCTTTCTGTGCATTTCTGCGGGCGCAGATTCTGTATGTCTATCGAGAAATGATAAACACTGTGCATTTCGCAAGACAACAAATATCTATGATTTATCTATGAATGCTGCAATTGAAACCTTTCGAAACTGTAAAATTAAACTTAAATATTCATATATATCTTTTAGAAGCGTGACCAGTTTAAATTCAAGATGTATGGAACATAAAGCTAATTCTTATAAACATCACTATATTTTCCATAGAGAAACTATAATAAAGCACATTAAGTTAGCTACATACCTAAATGCTATATAACATGATTTATTTTGAAGCAGTGTGATTATTTTAAAGCTAGCAAGCATAAAAAAACCAAACTAATGGCATTTGCAGATATTGTACTAAATTATGAGATACTGCACACAAATGTTGCACTGGTGAATGCTTCATAAAAAATAATTACTATCTTGAACATTCGACTGCACTATTGCAATGTCACAGTAACAGACCTACTAAAAAGATTGAAAATATTTTTCTGATAAGACTGCTGTCATAAACAGCTTAATAACGAATTATGTGTGTTAACATCAGCGTGTACACACTTTTAAGCCATACTTAGCCATAACTGGTTTCTCTCCTCAGCTGAGCCATACCCTCTTAAAGGGTTCATATGATGCGATTTCAAGTTTTCCTTTCTCTTTGGAGTGTTACAAGCTGATTGTGCATAGATAAGATCCCTGAAGTTGCAAAGACTAAAGTCTCAAAACCACAGAGATATTCTTTATCAAAGTTAAGACTCTGCCACGCCCTCCTAAAATGGCTCGTTCTAACACGCCCCCACATATCTACCTCACTATGTGGAAATATTTGCATAATGCACCCAAATGTGCAGGCAAAGAAAGAAGGTGTGGTTTCAGTAACCGCAGTTAGTGTTGAAGCAGCCATGTCAGGGAGACGCTGTGTGTTTCAGTGCGAAAGCAAAAGCACTTTATTTGGCCTTCCGAAAGTAGATGCATTTAGGAATCTTTAAGATGACTTACAACAGAACAGCAACGCATTTTATGGACGACCGTTTCGTGAACCTAGGAGAGGAGGTAATTCTGACTTTGCTATGACAATCTGGCGCTTCTGAATCAGCTACTGTTTTGTTATTAGTTTAAGTATTTGCTATTGACTGTTCAAATGCGGAGAGAGAGAGAGAGCATGAAAAAGAGAGTGAGAGAGAGCGAGAGAGAGAGAGCGCGAGATAGGGTCACATCACAGTGGAGTCAGCTGTCTTAACCGTGGCTTGTGTACTGCAAACACATACCAGCTTCATCACTGTGTCGGTCACGCGACTCTGTTCCCCTTACGGGGTTGAACTGATGGTAAAACTAATGACATTATGTACTGTCTTTACATTTATTTTGAAAGATGAAGCTCGCGATTATGGTAAGGGGCGTTACATTTCCGATGAGTGCTTGCTGTGTTCGGCCAATCACAATCCACTGGGTCAGCTGGCCAATCAGAGCAGACTGCGCTTATCGGAAGGAGAGAAGCGTTTGAGAGAGGCGGGGCATAGAGGACCTACAATAATGTACAGTATTCGAAAAAGAATGTGTTTTTTGAACATTAAAGCATGTCAACATATTCTGTTATGCCAAATACACAAAATAATGTTATTTTAAAAAAAGCATCGTATGACCCCTTTAATAAAGGTCACAGAGGTTTAAAATCACTGAGGGCGGTAAAGCTCAGTCACTCCAACAGAAACAAACACATCAGTGTCAATTCCAACAATTTATACACATTTGAATATGCAGTTAACCGCATATTCGTTCTGACAACGAGACAGAATGTGCATGTCACTCTCTTGAGATCGTTAAACGATAATAGGCGTCATGTAGTCAGATTCTTGACCGGAACCTTTGAAGAGTAACGATCACTCGGCTCATTAAAGGGTTAAAATTAAACGCGCGTAAATGTATCAGTCAGTGAACTGGAACGCTTGTTCTTTGTTTACATTGAAGAAACAGAATTTTAAAACCTTTTCTCGCGTAAGTTTCGCTCTCGCTCAGCAAACAAAACAATCAGCGGGGGAAATTTAAGATGAATTCGTTAAATAGACTACAGATCGACTCCTATACTATAATAAAGCAATTATTGCAATATTGGATCGAGCTAAACTCGTTTGCTCCGACTCATGCTGCTGTCAGTGATGCTTCACAGCTATATAAATCTGAACTAACTGGTCTTGATTATGATGAATACAGTGTATGGTAATGGTTAGATGTCATACGTGTTACAAATGTGCAGAGCAGCTCTGAATCTGCAATGTCTGGCTCATATGCAGTCTATTATTCTTCCAGCAGACACCAGAAAGGACAAGGGCAGTTTTTATACAGTTCAAAGCCCCCTAAAGCACCGATGTAGGAGCAAATCTGGAAGAATAGGGCGCATAAAGGAAGGTAAAATGTGTAAAAGAAAAGCCATTCGTCTTCGCAGACACACACGGCTCACTACAACGACAACGTCCAGTCTGAGACGCAACCAAAGCGTGCGATGCACGCAGATCGAGCACACATCGTGGAAAATACATCGAAATGGCTTTACGATTAAGCAAATCTTTTTGTACCGTTCACAAAAATGTGTCAACCGAGCCAGCTAAATATAACTCCGCCTTCTTCTTCAAGCGGCCCTCGCTCTTCAGAGCAATACAAAATGTGCGCACGCGAGCAAAACGCTTCCATCCAAATCCACACTTAAATAGTTGAATTAGAACGAAATATTGCGGTTACCTGCCGTGAAACCAGTCTTTGCAGGCGTCGCATTCGATCATAAACTGGGTTACGTCGTAAGGTAATCTGCAGATGCAATAGACGGGCACAGTCGCCATGTTAGATCAATTCACAACAACAGCCGGAGAGATGGATGGGGGCAGCAGGAACCTCCCGTAACACAAACTACAGCGATATGAAGAGCCGCGGAGCTGCTCCTACGTCCATTCGAACGTTCCCCCGGTCCGACGTTACAATGTTACGATGTTAAAATGTTTCCCGCGCTGCATTGACGTGTGCATGCCCCCTGGTGACTATACGAGAGCCGAGACTTTCATAAAGCCCAAGAAAATGCATCCTTTCATTGTAATATTGTTACGTCAGTCTACAAGACGGGAAAAATCGCCTCGGTCATGCTGGTCCAGATGAATGGAGCTCATTAAACGCTGCGGCTGCTTCGCAGGCTTTCCCGGGACGATAGAAAGACGAAAATCCACCAACCGCCGAACCAGCTGCAGCAGTCTATGACACGTTAATAAGATCTCATGCAGTTATGGCACAGAAGTGAAAGGAATATAAGAACAGAGGGTTAGTTCAAATTTTGACAAGCTCCTCATTTTAAATTGCAGCTAGCTATTATTAACAATGACTAGTTATTATTACACACATACATCCATTATTTATATATATATATATATATATATATATATATATATATATATATATATATATATATGTGTGTGTGCTAAATACTGAGAAAATCGCCTTTAAAGTTGTCCTAATGAAGTTCTTAGCAATGCATATTACTAATCAGGAAATTTACAAATTATCTTCATGGAACACGATCTTTACTTAATATCCTAATGATTTTTGGCATAAAAGAAGAATCAATAATTTTGACCCATACAATGTATTTTTGGCTATTGCTACAAATATACCCCAGCGATTTAAGACTGGTTTTGTGGTCCAGGGTCACATTTAATCAAAAGTTATAACCATTTTTAAGAACGTGTCCTCAGAGCATGGTCGAAATGATGCAAAATGATACATCAGTGTTATAAAAAAATAGTAGTAATAATAATAATTATAATATATATACACACACACACACACACACAGTTGAAGTCAAAAGTTTACATACACCATGCAGAATCTGCAAAATCTTAATTTTACCAAAATAAGAGGGATCATACAAAATGCATGTTATTTTTTATTTAGTACTGACCTGAATAAGATATTTCACATAAAAGACGTTTACATATAGTGCACAAAAGAAAATAATAGTTGAATTTATATAAATGACCCCATTCAAAAGTTTACATTTTTAATACTGTTTGCTTACCTGAATGATCCTCAGCTGTGTTTTTTTTTGTTTAGTGATAGTTGTTCATGAGTCCCTTATTTGTCCTGAACAGTTAAACTGCCTGCTGTTCTTCAGAAAAATCCTTCAGGTCCCACAAGTTCTTTGGTTTTCCAGCATTTTTGTGTATTTGAACCCTTTCCGACAATGACTGTATGATTTTGAGATCCATCTTTTCACTCTGAGGACTAACTAAGGGACTCATATGCAACTATTACAAGAAGGTTCAAATGCTCACTGATGATCCAGAAGGAAAAACAATGCATCAAAAAACTTTTGAACAGAATGAAGATGTTTACATTTTTCTAATTTGGCCTAAATATCATATTTTCTTTCCATTTAGTCCTGCCCTTCAGAGGCTACAGAAGATAGTTACATGTTTCTCAGAAGACATTCATGAGTCCCTTATTTGTCCTGAACAGTTAAACTGCCTGCTGTTCTTCAGAAAAATCCTTCAGGTCCCACAAGTTCTTTGGTTTTCCAGCATTTTTGTGTATTTGAACCCTTTCCGACAATGACTGTATGATTTTGAGATCCATCTTTTCACTCTGAGGACTAACTAAGGGACTCATATGCAACTATTACAAGAAGGTTCAAATGCTCACTGATGATCCAGAAGGAAAAACAATGCATCAAGAGCCTGAAAACTTTTGAACAGAATGAAGATGTTTACATTTTTCTAATTTGGCCTAAATATCATATTTTCTTTCCATTTAGTCCTGCCCTTCAGAGGCTACAGAAGATAGTTACATGTTTCTCAGAAGACAAAAGTTAAATTTACCCTGATCTTCAAATTCAAAAGGTTTTCAGCCCCTGCTCTTAATGCATAGTTTTTCCTTTTGGAGCATCAGTGAGCATTTGAAACACCTTGATTCTGCAAGGTGTATGTAAAATTTGGACTTCCAACTGTGTGTATGAATATACAGGTGCATCTCAATAAATTAGAATGTCGTGGAAAAGTTCATTTCAGTAATTCAACTCAAATTGTGAAACTCGTGTATTAAATAAATTCAATGCACACAGACTGAAGTAGTTTAAGTCTTTGGTTCTTTTAATTGTGATGATTTTGGCTCACATTTAACAAAAACGCACCAATTCACTATCTCGACAAATTAGAATATGGTGACATGCCAATCAGCTAATCAACTCAAAACACCTGCAAAGGTTTCCTGAGCCTTCAAAATGGTCTCTCAGTTTGGTTCACTAGGCTACACAATCATGGGGAAGACTGCTGATCTGACAGTTGTCCAGAAGACAATCATTGACACCCTTCACAAGGAGGGTAAGCCACAAACATTAATTGCCAAAGAAGCTGGCTGTTCACAGAGTGCTGTATCCAAGCATGTTAACAGAAAGTATGGAAGAAAAAGATGCACAACCAACCGAGAGAACCGCAGCCTTATGAGGATTGTCAAGCAAAATCGATTCTAGAATTTGAGTGAACTTCACAAGGAATGGACTGAGGCTGGGGTCAAGGCATCAAGAGCCACCACACACAGACGTGTCAAGGAATTTGGCTACAGTTGTCGTATTCCTCTTGTTAAGCCACACCTGAACCACAGACAACGTCAGAGGCGTCTTACCTGGGCTAAGGAGAAGAAGAACTGGACTGTTGCCCAGTGGTCCAAAGTCCTCTTTTCAGATGAGAGCAAGTTTTGTATTTCATTTGGAAACCAAGGTCCTAGAGTCTGAAGCTCATAGAAACTCATAGCCCAAGTTGCTTGAAGTCCAGTGTTAAGTTTCCACAGTCTGTGATGATTTGGGGTGCAATGTCATCTGCTGGTGTTGGTCCATTGTGTTTTTTGAAAACCAACGTCACTGCACCCGTTTACCAAGAAATTTTGGAGCACTTCATGCTTCCTTCTGCTGACCAGCTTTTTGTAGATGCTGATTTCATTTTCCAGCAGGATTTGGCACCTGCCCACACTGCCAAAAGCACCAAAAGTTGGTTAAATTACCATGGTGTTGGTGTGCTTGACTGGCCAGCAAACTCACCAGACCTGAACCCCATAGAGAATCTATGGTGTATTGTCAAGAGGAAAATGAGAAACAAGAGACCAAAAAATGTAGATGAGCTGAAGGCCACTGTCAAAGAAACCTGGGCTTCCATACCACCTCAGCAGTGCCACAAACTGATCACCTCCATGCCACGCCGAATTGAGGCAGTAATTAAAGCAAAAGGAGCCCCTACCAAGTATTGAGTACATGTACAGTAAATGAACATACTTTCCAGAAGGCCAACAATTCACTAAAAATGTTTTTTTTATTGGTCTTATGAAGTATTCTAATTTGTTGAGAGAGTGAATTGGTGGGTTTTTATTAAATGTGAGCCAAAATCATCACAATTAAAAGAACCAAAGACTTAAACTACTTCAATCTGTGTGCATTGAATTTATTTAATACACAAGTTTCACAATTCGAGTTGAATTACTGAAATAAATGAACTTTTCCATGACATTCTAATTTATTGAGATGCACCTGTATATCGTTAGGTGAATATTAAAATCAAAATTGGTCAGTTGTGTTCACACAGTTCAGTTTCAACTTGAAACATAAGAGCAAATTTGACCTATTGGTGGTGCTAGATGGTCTGAGATAGAGATTTGCTGTAGTGTTCAGACTTCCACCTCTCAGTGTGCTAAATGTCACAACTTTTTATGGTTCTCAGGGCTGCCACAAAGTCAAACTCAGAAAAAGAGGAAGAAACCAAGTTAAAATAGCCATTTGGTTTGCAAAATACAAAATAAGTCAGTAATTCAAATTTTTTTAATTATCAAAATATTTACTACGTTTTATATTTATACTGGGTTTTTCCAGGTTTTGCAAAGGTAAGACTTGACCTTTTTTAAGACTCTTTAAGACCAAGTAAAGACAATTGAACACAATACATCAATATGATCTCTAAATGTAAATGTCCTGTATTAGCAATGCTTCAAAGTTTGAAAATACATGTTTTATATTTATACTGGGTTTTTCCAGGTTTTGCAAAGGTAAGACTTGACCTTTTTTAAGACTCTTTAAGACCAAGTAAAGACAATTGAACAATACATCAATATGATCTCTAAATGTAAATGTCCTGTATTAGCAATGCTTCAAAGTTTGAAAATACAACTTCCAACAAAATGTGATCACACTGCAAAAAAAAAAAAAAAAAGTATTTTATGGAGCCCCGCACATGGCATGCAGGAAAAAAATAGTAGGCTAAATCGTGGGCACGATTTACTATTTCGTTCCCTCGATTTATAAATTGTGCACATGATTTATAAATCGAGATAATTAATTAGTAAATTCTGCACACAATTTAGCAAATTGAGGGAACAAAATAGTAATCATGTGCACGTTTTAGTACATTGAGGGAACGAATTAGTAAATCGTGCGCACAATTTCTTTTTTTTTGTCTTGCATGTCATGTGAGGGGCTCCGTAGTATTTTTATTTTCTAGTGCAAATGTCTAAAGATCCTTAAATCAAGATACATTCACAAGTTTTGTTTTATGAAAAATTGATCAAAAAGTGAGTTTATAATTACAACAACAACAAATATCTGCCAGTGGGCTCAGATAAATCAACTTAATTCAAAGGGAAAACAAGTTTTCATACCCCATTGATAGATGTTTGTTCTTGTTTTTAGCATAAGCTCAAATAATTGTTTTCAGTCTCTCCAAACCAAGACATCAGATGTTCAATTTGCATCTGAAGTAAATGTATCTTGATTTAAGGACACTAATATAACTGTACAGGAAAAGAAAAGACATCAGATGTTCAATTCGCATCTTAAGTAAATGCATCTTGATTTAAGGACGCTAATATAACTGTACAGGAAAAGAAAAAAGAAAAACAATAACACTGTTTTGCATGCAATAAAGTAGTGCACTGAATTTATGAATTTAGGCCTTAATTTATGGAAGGGCAAATTAAGACTCTTTAAGACCATTTTGAAACCTGCAGAAACCCTGTTATCGAACATTGCTGTTTTCATGGAGCTTTTACTAAAGATCATGACTTGACAGTTTATTCTCCAGCAGGGGGCCGAAAACATCCCCATGGTGTAGCAAAGCTGTAATACTGTGATAGCATAGAAAAAGGCATGTGCAACTTGTAGTAGAAATTGAGGAAAGTTTGAGATGACAAGCCATCAACCCTTATGGTGGATCAGCACCTAGAGAGGACCTCTACAGCCCTGAAAGTCAGCAGAGACCAGGACAACTAGATGAGCCCCAGATACAGATCCCCAGTAAAGACCTCGTCTCAGACGGCCACCGTGACAAGACCACAGGATCCAGTTGAGTCCTCTGCACAATGTGACTTTGCTGCAGCCTGGAATTGAACTGCTGGTTTCATCTGGCCAGAGGAGAACTGGCCCCCCGACTGAGCCTGGTTTCTCCCAAGGTTTTTTCTCCATTCTGTCACCGATGGAGTTTTGGTTCCTTGCCGCTGTCACGTCTGGCTTGCTTAGTTGAGGACACTTCATTTCCAGCGATATCGTTGACTTGATTGCAAAGATATTATTTAAACTGAACTGAGCTGGATGATGACATCACTGAATTCAATGATGAACTGTCTTTAACTGAAAAATGAGTGTTTACTATTGTCCTTTTGCATTATTGACACACTATTTTCCTAATGGAAATTATTAATTAGGAAATTAGTGTCAATAATGCAAAAGGACAATCGTAAACACTCATTTTTCAGTTGCTTTGACAATCTGTATTTTTAAAAGCGCTATATAAATAAAGGTGACTTGACTTAAAAACACACATATACAAAAATTATTCTAAAAGAATAAAGACTTTTATTAAGCATTGTAAGTTGCATTCTTTTTCTTTCAAATACATCACACCACAAACCATCAACAGTCACTCAAACCCAACAGTAGTTCATTCTTTTACAAGCCATAAGTTAGGAAGAAACTCCGATCAACTTACATCAAGGTAACCTACTTAGACTTGCGGCAGGGGACTGAGGGGAATACACCATATTTCTGATCACTAATGTGCAATGAAAAGCATCAGGATTAGATGGAGAAGTAATGATTCTCATTTAGAAGTACGTTTATAAATTCTGAAAACACTAAAGTAAACATCAAAATGATTACAAGTGTACTTGCTTAGGCTAAATTCTCAAATGGGAGGGTCAAACGTTTCGCAAAACTTGTTCTGAGCTAAGAAAAGGGGGGAGGATTTAAGATCGAAGCCATTTTTTTAACGATTTTTTTATCTAGGATGAATACGGAAAACAGCAACAGAGAACAATAATGTATACAGTGATGAGTACACCAGGATTAACAATATTTAAAGTGGCTAGATAATGTTGGAGTAAATACAACAGAGGTCAATAAATCACAGAAATAATAAACTTAAGGTTAGCGCAAATCAGTTACTGACTAATCATTAACACCTTTTATAGGACTATTACTGATTATCAGCTTTATAAAATTTTGCAGATGGGCACGGTATTTGTAATGAAGGAAGAAATAGGACAACATGCATTATAACTACACACCATTTTGTTTGTTTGTTTTTTCTTTTAATCGTGAGCCATGCAGAAAGTTTAGCTGAGACAGTTGACTAATGTGCTAAGTTTGATTCAACAAACCACTGATGCATGGCATTTTCTGACACGGAAAGAGACTTTTTCAAGAGCTAATTTGAAACTCGTGAGATCGGTCTAACCATTTCTTGACATTACCTATAATCGCTAATATATGGCATATTAAAATCATCAGAACTTAAGATGCAGCAGTAATACTAGTTACTCAATGTCAAAACAACCGCACATTTAAAACACAAGTAAACTCACAGTGACAACACGTGAGAAATGCGTTCTTGGTTTTGTCTTTCAAATCGTGAGTTTTACGTTTTCAAACAATAAAAAGGCATTTACTGTGACAATACAAACTCAATTACAATGGCAAATATATATATATATGGTCCTTGAATCTCAACTTACTAAAACTAAAAGACTGGCAAATGAAAATCGGTATTTCGATTTCTGCATTTCATCGAGAAAGTAAAATAATTTAATGTAACCAGTTTTGAAACACGTAATATCATTGATGAGGGAGAACACCGTCTTTCATCATTAAACTGGTACGATTCTCTATATGACTTGTATATCTATGTTGTACCGAGAGGTTTCCTCATTGTTATTTTGTGGTTTTAACTCGCTGATGTCGAAGAGGGATTTCAAAAATTCGTTAAGTCCTCATTTATCGCTTTCGGAGAGGAAAAAATGTACACCAACTGTAGGTCTTCCATCCTTCCAGATATTCCTTAACACGTAACCTTCCATCAACCTTCACCCTCTCTATAAAAATAGGTTTACTCTTCTGTTTTTAAGACAGCGGCATCCAGAGCTTCATCTCTGCAGCCCTCGCCATCTTCATTTAGTGCATTTAAATGAGGATTAGTATTGCACATTTTAGAATCGTTGCTAAAGGCACTTTCAGGTTGGTTTGTAGCCCTACTTTCCCCTTCGTTCCCATTGAGCTGGTCTGCCTCTTTACCCTCCACCAAGCCGTTCTCTGCTGCTGTGGACCCTTCTAAGGGCAGATGTGGTGTTTTGGTCACCAAATTCGGCTCCATTCTGTCTTTTATCACTTCATCGGTTGAGGCAGCATATGCAGGCTTGCTCTGTTAAAATTAATTTTGCAACATTTTTTACTGTCAGTCTCCATCAATCCAATCAAAAATTATGCCATCACTGATTTTTGAAGAATAACCACACACTGCATTTTAATGACGTAATCATACAACCCAGGACATGTGACTGCAGGAACTGATAAACTATGATTCAAAAGTTTGTGGTCAGTAAGATTTTTTTTTATGGTTTTGAAACGAGTCTCTTATGCTGCATTACCAAGGCTGCATTTATTTGATCAAAAATACAGTAATACTATGAAACAATTTAAAATAACTGATTTATATTTTAGTATCTTTTAAAACAATTTATTTCTGTGATGGCTTATACTGATTTTTTTAGCAGCCATTACTCCAAATTTTTGAACATCGGCATATGTATTCTTGTTATTTTAAAATGTAGGAAACAATAAGATTCACCTGGTATGTTCCCTGACTCTTGAACCCTCTATTGTGGTATTTGGTTCCTCGACCAAAGGTCCTTATAACAGGAGTAGAAATCACAACTCTTGGACGACTGTTCAAAGAAAAGCAATCAATTTAAATTATCAAAAAAAAACACAATGAGTGAGCAAGTAAGTCAATTTAGAATACAGTAGGGCTAAGAGAAGCATTACTAAGAGTAAATATAAAAGTATTAAACGTGATATTACAGGACAGACAATTACAAATATGTCAATGCAAGAATTTATCTATAAAAACTGGCAGTAAAAAAATGATTGAAAATGTAATGCTTACCCTCTGGTTGGTCCACCAACTGACACCACCTGTATGGGAAACGAGGCTCTTCCTCTTCCACGACGACTACCAGCCCATTGACCCACCACTGTGCCTGCAATCTCAAGCTTACCACCCTGTGAGGGGATGGCTTGAAGCCCCACTTGAGAGGAATGAAATTAACTTTAATAACTCTTAAGAAACTCCATCCTTAAAAGTCCAATCAAACAGGTTTAGCTGCTTCAGCTAATCACATTTAAGAGAGGAATGTATTTTGAGCCAGATCTTCACAATGAATAGGGGTGTGCGATATTGACAAAAAATTATATCTCGATATTTACTGGGATTTTATCAATAACGATAATTAGACAATATTTTGCTAAGTGTGTTATTGTGCTAGTATCTTAAGGACTACCGTGAACAGCTGACTCCTAAAGCTTTTGATATTCTTCATATTCTGTGTGGTGGTAAGTTCAACTTCACACTGATAGAAATTAATATTTTCCAGTAAGTTTTAAAGGGGTCATATGGTGCGATTTCAATTTTTTCTTTCTTTTTGAAAAGAGAAGCTCTTTAATCTGTAAAGTTGCAAAGACTAGTGTCTCAAATCCAAAGAGATATTCTTTATAAAAGTTAAGAGTCAACCACGCCTACCTAAAACAGCTCGTTCTAACACGCCCCCACATATCTACGTTACGATGTGGGAAGATTTGCATAACGCCGCCCAAATGTTCACGCAAAGAAAGAAGGTGTAACTTTTATTCTCGCTGTAGTATTGTTGCTGCCGCCATGTCATGAAGACGCTGTGTGTTTCTTTGTGAAAGCGAAACTACTTTGTTTGGCCTTCCAAAAGAGGACGATATCCGCTTCGTCATGCCTAGAGCTGATCCATGTTCGTCGCTGAGGAAATACATCAACTTCGCGCTGTGGATCACCAGATCGGTTTTCACTGTGGACGAAGCGGAGTCCAGCCCGGGGTCGTCACATGTAGTTGCCGCAAGCCCTCCGGCCGCACCTTCGTTGAATCTGCCGGCCTCCGCTCACTTAGCTCACCGTGTGTGACGCTGTGTTTCGTTGTGAAAGCGAAACTACTTTGTTTGGGATTTTTACATTTTATGGGCATTTTTACCTTTATAACGCCTTTTTTTTCTAAAAGTGCATTATCTTTTGAATCAAATTCTTACATTTAATCAGTGAATTAGAATAATAAGACATTTGGGCTGTTACCAAGCAAATTAAATCAGTATCAACAAAATTAACCTTTGCAATGCAGAGGAAACACAGTCAGAATCTGCATCTGAAGTGGCATTTAGATGTATTTACACACTGTTTGATGCAGGACATTAATGTTTTAACCTGCAGTCACAAATGCATAAATAATGTTTTGATAAATAAAACATAAAACACTGAATACTGATATTTGAAATTATTAAAAAAATTAAAAGACACTTTAAATGTGAAATTAAAACTGCCAGTAGGTGGCAGCAAGTCACTGTTAATAAGCGAGTCATTGCGATTGAACCGAAACGGTTGATTCATTCAGGAACGAAACACTTTAATGTTGCACAGAGACACAAAACAGTGCTGTGACTGTTTGGAATTATTTTTGTTGTCGAAATAGAGCAAAAACAGGCAATATGGTGTCTTAAACGTAAGTCTCTTAATTAACTTCTTGTTTATTGAATTGTAAAAAATCAAATCACATTTGTAATTATGGTAATTTTTGCAGAAAACAAACAAAAAAAAACTTAGTGTAAAATTGATTAACTATATGAAGTGGTATAAATATATATACATTTTCTGCCCCCATATCTTGAATTTGTGATCATTCTAAATGTAGTTTTATAGACTGAATCATGCAGTGAAAGAACTCACTCTAAACGCACACAAGTCTAGACTTCACATAATGCGTGAAATGCACTCTTTGGGTGTTTTAAAGTGCCCCTATTATGGGTAATGAAAGGTTCATATTTTTGGTTTTGGGAGTCTCCAACAACAGGTTGACATGCATGCAAGGTCAAAAAACCACTTTCATTGTCTTATAATATGCAATTATTTTTACCTTACTTGCTCAACGACTCCCAGACGATTCACTCAACGATTCATTTTTCCAAACCCCTCCTTTGCGTGACGCTAATCTGCAATGATTGGTCCGATTGGTCTCATTTTCATTTCATCTTGCCTTAGTGATGTTATGTTCGTGAATGAATCGTTCTTTTTGAATGAATCTTTTAGGTGAATGAATCGTTCTCGTTCACGTAATCCATTGACTCATATTTCTCGTTCACTGAAATTCCACCCTCCAGAGCAGCATGGTGCTATTAGCAGTGCATGTGCAGCTCAGTGAACCAGGTAGCTCTGTGGACTGTTTCATCCTGTCAAATAATGATTAAACCTCGAGCCAATAGCCTTCGAGTATGAGATGTGACAGAACATGTGATTTGTTGAATGAAGTGAACGAATACGCCCTTCACTGAATGAGTTTCTTTTGACTCCGAACGAGAGAGATCTTGTTCGTGAACGAAATGACCGAACTGGCACATGTCATTCGTGAACGAGTTGAATGAACTGGCACATGTCGTTCGTGAACGAGTTGAATGAACTGGTACATGTCATACGTGAACGAGTTGAATGAACTGGTACCTGTCATTCGTGAACGAGCTGAATGAACTGGTACCTGTCATTCGTGAAACAAGCTGAATGAACTGGTACATGTTGTACGTGAACGAGCTGAATGAACTGGTACATGTCGTTCGTGAACGAGCTGAATGAACTGGTACATGTCGTTCGTGAACGAGCTGAATGAACTGGTACATGTCGTTCGGGAATGAAATGAATGTGTACCAGGTCAGTCGGCCATTTAGCATGCGAGTCAATCTTGATCAGCAATCAGCAGAAAGCGGATGCAAAGCGCAGTTATAGGTACTGTGCACATACGCTTGTTTATATATTCATATTTAGCATACAGAACATAACTCCACATTTAAACCCCGATTTAGGAATATGTAAATGTCTGACCAAACAATTAAAATGTTAATTATGCAAGAAAACCTTGTGCTTTGGTCATCTGAACAAGTTTAGACTTTATTTATTTAATGAGTAGATTATGCACACATTTTAATTGTCTAATTTTAATAATTCACTTTTTTGTAACAAGTAAATACGTTTGTTTACTTAAGACATAACACATAAGACACTCTGTTTCGCCACCTGCTGGCATATTTATGTAACTTGAAGAAATGGTCACTGAACGAATCAGTGAACAAATCATTTTGGTGAACGAACTGAAAATGAACGAATCACAGTTTCCACCACTAATTTGCCTGTAATGCCTGATAAAGCAGCGTTTGTGAGCGCAGTGCTGCTTTGTGTACAGCGTTACTGGGGAAACCACTATTTTTACCGCTCCAAAAGCTGCACCTAGTGGCAAAGAATGAATTTGCATTTTTCATTCAGACCAACGCGAAAAGACCTACAAGTGGGTGGGCAATATACTAATGTTTCATGTTGACGTCAACATGAAACAGCTTGGGATTGGTTTTAAAAACGACTAGTTTCAATGACTCAGAGTGTCTTTCTTTTGAGAGACAATAACTTTATACACGGTGCACTTTCAGATTTAAAACTTTGCAGGATGTTTTCATTCACTTAGAGCTGTGTTACACACTGCATGAAAGGTCATTTTCAAAAATCCATAATAGGGGCATGGTTTTTGCAAAATACTCGATAATGTCAAATCACACATCGTTAAAACAACAATTAAGACATTATCGCAGATGACACATATCGCACACCCCTAGCAAAGAATCGATTGACCAAGTTCACAAAACCACTCAGTAATTGTTTCTCACTTTTACAACCTAGTAGTAAACCTGGTATTAACACGTTACTTCTAAAAGAGTATTATTTTTGTTTAAATGTTTTCACAACTAAACTCAAATCAATAATGAATTACTATAATCAATTAATAATCAATTACTAACGAAAAGCTGTTTGGTATTTTGCTTAAGTTTGCCAATCAGTCTAACAATCATTCTTACCAGGCATGCCCCTGCTTCTAGCCTGCAGTGGGGGCAGAGGAGGTGGAGGGTAGAAGGTGCTGTTGGGGGGGTAGAAAGGCATTGCGTGTGGAGGTGGAGGGGGGAATGCGATCGGCTGGGGTGGCCGAGAGAAGTTCAGACCTTCCAGGATACTCTGACGCATCTTCTCCACCTTGGAAACTAGTTCAGTCTGGGGATCACAAGGAGATACATGTAAATTTTATCTCAGTTAGATTGCCAACCCAGATTTAAAAGTACAATTTCTATCTTATATATAAAGCTATCAACAAATTCAACACTGGGGATTAATGGTTAACATGGTTAACAGTTGAGTAAATATTACTGTACATATTGGACAAAGCAATAAAATACAGTTACAGCACCATAAACGAAAGTGCACTAAAGACTGAAAGCTCAACAAGTAGCATTTCACCTCCAAATACATCTTTGTTAAACATTTAAAAGCAGAAAATGTATATTTGTTATTTGCTAAACTAATTATTGTAGGTTTCTTTTGGATTCTGTTTTTGCAAAAATTAAATGTGAGAGCACCTCTTGTCAAGGTCTTTTAATATATAATATGCATAATATAGCTGTATTGTATACAATTATATTTACAAAGTAGTATAAATGAATGTATTTTATATATAAACTACAGTTCAAATGGTTGGGGTTGGTAAGATTTTATGTTTTTGAAAGAAGTCTCTTATGCTTACTATGGCTGTATTTATTTGATCAAAGAAACCGTAAAAAGTTATATTGTGAAATATTACTACAATTTAAAATAACTGAAAATGTGAGAGCACCTCTTGTCAAGGTCTTTTAATATATAATATGCATAATATAGCTGTATTGTATACAATTATATTTACAAAGTAGTATAAATGAATGTATTTTATATATAAACTACAGTTCAAATGGTTGGGGTTGGTAAGATTTTATGTTTTTGAAAGAAGTCTCTTATGCTTACTATGGCTGTATTTTAAATGTGAGAGCACCTCTTGTCAAGGTCTTTTAATATATAATATGCATAATATAGCTGTATTGTATACAATTATATTTACAAAGTAGTATAAATGAATGTATTTTATATATACACTACAGTTCAAATGTTTGGGGTTGGTAAGATTTTATGTTTTTGAAAGAAGTCTCTTATGCTTACTATGGCTGTATTTATTTGATCAAAGAAACCGTAAAAAGTTATATTGTGAAATATTACTACAATTTAAAATAACTGTTTTCTATTTAAATATTTTTTAAATGTATTGTTTTCCTGTGATGCAAAGCTGAATTTTCAGCAGTCATTACTCCAGTCTTCAACGTAACATGATTGTTACGTGCGGATTTGGTGCTCAATTAACATCTCTTATTATTATCGGTGTTAAAAACATTTGCCCTGTTTAATATTTTTGTGGAAACCATGATACATATTTTTCAGGATCCTAAAGAACAGCATTCATTAAAAAAAATAAATAATAATAATAATAATTATATATATATATATATATATATATATATATTTTTTTTTTTTTTTTTTTTTTACACATTTT